CCTCCAGACTTCTGTAGCCAGTAAAAGGAAAGATGAATAACTGCTAATTCCTAAAAATGATGCATTGTGCATAAACTTTTCTATAACAGAAGACTAAATATTATGTGATAGTAACTACATAACTTGCTGACTTAACTTAGCATCTCTATATGCCAGTGGTTATAGTGATAAAATCTGCTAACATTTACTTTTAACCCATAAACACGTTACCATATTTAATATAATAGGAAATAAATGAGCTAAACCTAATGCTTAGTTAAGCTCTGTGCAATCATGGATTCCATTAATATAGGCTAATGTTTCCTGGTCCAAGTTTAGGGCTTTTGGAAGGGGACCCGATGAGGCATTGTTCCAGCTGGAATAATGTTTTTTATGAATGTCAAATTGTTGTCTCATGAAGCAAACTATGTTGCTCATCATATAATTTAATACAACTTGACAGTTTTTAATTTATCATTTACAAACAATGTGCAAATTGTGATTGTCCGTGTTTACTTGGTGACATCATTTTGTATATGTTGTGTGTGACTTACAGGATTTACTTCTTTGCATGACCACAACGCCTGGATTGCCTTGTACGTGTGGCTGCCATGATGCTTGGGTTACAGGGAAGTACTTCGTCCTCCAAAGTGTATCGTTGTGTGGCATGTTCAGCCACCTTCAACGGATTGGCCTCCTTGCTAGTACATCAGGCAACCCATGCTGGTGCGCTCTCCAAGATCCATCCACAGCCGAACACCAGCCCACATGAAACATTGTTTGCAAGTATGGACTCATCCAGTGAACAACCCAATCTACCAACACTCTTGCCTGAAAGCCCTTCACCTTCTTTTTATATTTGTGATTGTGGAGAGGAATTTCAGGACTTTGGCCTTATGCTGGAACATAAGCGTTCACATGTCTCTCAACTACAGCTACTGCAACCTTTGGATGATAGTAGTATTCTTGGTGGCACAGAGTGTGATAAAGCTTTCACCATCCAGCATGTATCATTAAGTCCAACTGTAACCCAGCTAGGTTTGGTTAGTAGTTGTCCCTCTACCTCAAGGTCCCCAGCTGTCAAACCCACATTAACAGACCGCAAAGCAGATGTAAGCCTGGAGGATGGCATCGCCATAGTAACCACTCCTCAAGGCCAGTGTACACCCCCTCAAGATGACGGTGAGAAACAACTTGAGAACATGTCAGCCACAGCAGAGCAAAAATCAGAGACTGGGGAGAACATGCAAGAAACAAATTCTGTTCTCAATAGCGAAAATGGTCAGAGTCTGCCCAGAAATAATGCTCTAATGAAGTTGGTGGCCTCGGCATACATGAAGCGTTTTCCCGCTCTTCCGTTTCAGAATCAGAACAATAACACAGTAACCCCCAAACAAGAAGTCGTCCCCGTTGACATAACACCAGGAGCAAAAACTGAGGTGTCCCCGATCAACGATCTCTCTGTTGCACAGTTGAGGCGACTGCTTGCAACACCTGGTATAAAAACAAAAGCTCCATCCATCAGCAGAGTTCTTGAGTCCAGTAAAAAGAAAGTTGTCTCTCTTACTAAGACTTTCTCACCTGTTGTGGTTCTTGAAACCCGTCATAAACTCAAGGATCCTGGCAGTAATGGCACTTATGGGAGATATCAATGTGGCCGCTGTCGTAGGGTCTTTCAAAACTTGGACAAACTGACAGAGCATCATTTCTTGCACAAAAAAGAGAGGATTAAATGTTGCCGTCACTGCAAACAGCTGATCATTGGGCGGCTGCCTTTACCTGACAATCACGTATGCCCTCAGTTAACAAACAAGAACATACAGCTGTCAAAGTCTTTAAAAAACAAGTCACCATTTGCCCCAAAACTAGTGCCATTCCATAGTCTAAACAATACTAGAAAAGTTTTCTTTTGTCCATTGTGCAAGCACAGCTACGCGCGGAGGTGGAACCTCAAAATGCACAAGTGCCAGGGCCCCGGGTCCGCTGTCCCCCAGCAGGCCAATCCGCCCATTCAGAAAATGCTAGTATTGAGATCAGACAGTAAACCCAATTCAGATACAGAGATTAATGCTGGATCTCACATCTCCAAGAGTATCGCTGTGGGCACTGAAGTTACTGGTCGAATCAAGGTAGAGGTGACCCCTCCAAATTCAGAGATATCTACAGCTTCACAGTTGGCCTGGACTCGTCCAGCAAACAGCTTCTCCCCATTCTACCCCAAATCTTCCATGACGGAGCAGCACAAGGATGGCTCCCTGTGCGATTCGCTCCAGCAAGGGGACGAAAACAGTAGCTGGGGTGGAGCAGCAGTTGATAATGAGGACAGTAATGAGGACAGTAATGAAGGGCAGTGGACAATGCCCTTGGATGATGAAATGGAGGTACTTAGCTCTATGGAGAAAGCTGGTAATGGAGGAGAGGTGAAGAAGTCTTTGTCAGTCGAACATGCAGGTACGGCGCCCCCCAGCCTGCGCTATTTCATCAGAGATGGCGTAAAACGTTACCCATGTAACAGGTGTCAGAAAACCTACAGTCGGCCATCTACTTTGAGGCGCCATCTACGCCTGTGCGGGTTTAGGCTACGGGGACCTGGCACTGTGGCACAGAGTAGTAGTCACGGTGCCACTCCACAAAATGCCAGCAATATGAAACCAATGTTTCCTTGCCATGTCTGCGGGAGAACCTTTAACCGCAAAGATAACATGATGGTTCACAGAAAAAGGTGTCAGTTGCACCTAACAATGAGCGATGTGGACAGAGGGATTGTGCAGCCGAGTGTACCAGGCAACGCAACGGACGGTCAAACCCAGGAGGACGATGGAGGCAACTGGGGCATCATGTCACTGCCCTCTGTACTCCCAAGGAGGGTGACATGTGAGTGTGGCGTCGGATTTACATCCCCAAGGCTTCTGCTGGAGCATCTGCAGAAGCATGCACAGGAGTCATACACATGTCCGACTTGTGGAGAGACTGTTAATTCCTGGGCAGACTACGAAGTTCACCTGCAGATCCATATGCATCCTCATCACCAGCTGCTGAAGGGAATACAGCCCCAGCGATCGCAACCCCTATTACTTCGATTTCAGCAACAGAGACCTCAGCAGCAGCCCTCTCAGCCAGTGCATCAGCCTCCACAGAAGCAAACTGTCAGAGCAGATAAGCTTCCAAATCCAACAAAAAAGCAGCCAAGGATTGTATGCACACGGTGCGGAAACACTTTCGCCACTCGCTGCTCCCTCCGAAGGCACGTGTCCTGGAATCGATGCAAAGGTGGACGGGCTATAAATCCACCCACACACCCACCCAAAACCTATCACTGTTCCCATTGCAACTCTCACTTCCCGAACACAATCAGTCTTCTGTTTCACCAGAGGAGTGGGGCCTGCAAGCCCGCCATTAAGCCCGTGCGGTGCCCCGTTTGTCTTCGCTGGTTCGGCACTGTGGATGGTTTGCAGAAACACCTGCTCACTCACAAGCAGTCTGAATCGTATCGCTGTGATGTGTGTCAGGGGACGTACCCCAACCTTAAATCACTCAAAAACCACCGCAGGAGGATTCATCGCATCATGGCTGGAGACACTAAGCCAAAAACACAAGAACAGCTGAATTCTTAATGATACTTCATGTTTTCTGAAAATCATCAGAGTCGTGCATTTAAGAACTTTACAAATTTCAGTATATTTGTCAGTTGACTTGTTTTTAACTTGACTTGGGCTTTTTTTTTTCACTGTCCATGAGTTATTTTGACATTGTACAGCCACATAAGTTGTTTTTTAAAGCTGCTCTGAGAGTGTGTTATAGTAGCTTGCCACTGTAAAAACAACAAAAAAATCACAGCTTTTATATACTGTACATTTTAGTTTTGTCAAGTTAATCCCTTTATTACATAGCCTCATTAGCCTGTAAATGTTTGAGTATTTGGTAATCAAACTTTTATCACAGAGGTCGTGATGTAGCTTGTTGTTCCTGGTGTCAATAAACATACCAGTATGTGAAACATGTACATTATATCATTTTGTGCGATAAGGGATCAAATATCTTAAAGGTTTGCAACAAGTGCAACACAAGAAGGTGATATTTTGAATATTGTGTAAAGAGCTTGTTTTAAGACGAAAGGGGTTTTATGTCCTGGCTTTTACTTCCAGAATGATTTAATATTAGTACACAAATTTGTGGCATGCATACTAATTAATTAATTTAATTAATAATTAATTTAGTACATTTGTTCTCTTGTTTGGGAAGTCTTAAAAAAGCAGTGATCAGGCTTACTCTGCGTGTCAACCGGTCTGTGCTCGTCTATGAACGCTCTGGAGTATACAATTAAAGCACAGCTTCCTTTTGGATCACAGTTTCTAGTTTGTTCCTTTGTTAAACAAATATAATGTTAAGTAACTTTCAGTCAGTCATGGGTCATAAGGTGAATGTCAATTAACAGTAAATGTGTATGTGTGTAACAGAAATTTTTTCATAGATTTAAAGGAAACCTAGAGCAAAGAAAGGTAAGAATGTGAACCTTGTATCCCAAATGTACAAGTTTGTGGTAGGTTTTTTAAGAGGTTTACTAATTTGTTAGATATTTGTATCAACCTCAGTTTTTCTTAAATGAAAATACCTGAAATGGACCTAAAATACCTAAAATAAAAAAAACCCCACTAATTTCTGGGGCCGCAGAGAAACCCAGGAATAGTCACTGTCTCTTTAGTTTACAGTGGTAAGAGGGGAAATTACTAAATGTGTGCTGAATGTAGATAAACGGCACTGGTAGGAAAATCATCATCTGGAATATGATAGATTAACCAAGATATACCCTGAGGGAACGCTGATTCACATGTAGCTGTGTGTAGTTTTTTACTATTAATTCAGTAACCCTATGGGAAAGTCAATACAACCAACAATTACCAGTATAATCTCAGTTTTCATTTTTAATTCAATATACACCGCCCACTTGTGTTTATTAAATGTAATTGTATACGCTCATTTTTCACATTGACAGATAAACAAATAAACAGGTTCATTGCCTGAAGTAGGTTTTCACATACAATGAATTTGTCTTGGTATTTTGTTGCATAACAATAAACATAGTAAGAGAAATCTGTTTTTTTTTTAAATAAATATTGACCAAGGAGTGGGCAACAGTATAAAAAATATGTGCAATTTGCAAATAATAATCCCAGTATGTGCTTTCATTGACATATAGAGATGTGGAGACTATGTTAATGTTCATCCGTGTCAGTGAGGGGGTCCCGGGCCTTGATGAGGCCAGCTGCAGTCGGGTAGGCTGGGAGGGGTCGGCCATAATCCTCCTCGCTCCCCTCAGGGTCCCGGAGGCAAACAGGTCGTGGAGGGATGGCAGATGCAGCCAATCACCCTCTCTGCAGAGAGAGTGAGACGCTGCAGTCCACTCTTGTCCTTGGCAGTGGCAGGAGCGTTCCAGTAATGGTGATGGAGAACATGAGATTGGACTCAGTGATGCGCGGTTATAGATGTGCGGCGCATCATTGGCTTGTAGAGGTTGGAGGCAGTTATCACCGTCCCTGAGTTGCTCTCGGGCGTGGGGGGACAGCTAGGTCAGTTGCAATGTAAAGAAGGCTTGGTTATATTGTATGTAATATATTTTGTATATATATATTAATGCTGAGGATCATGTTAATCATGTATTTCCATGGTAACGAAAGGACTGTGCTCCATGGTAACGAGTGACCTGTCAAGTTGATGCTAGTGTTATTTATTTGTGTTTGCAGCATGAAGGCTAAAAGTCACCCTCTATTAACAGCCGTGTTAACGTTAAAGGTGAAACACTCACTCCAGTCGGTAGCAGTTATAACGAAGCAAAACTGAACTTTTGTCCGTCAAAGCGCGCCATCGGTAGAAGAAGAGGGTGTGGAGCTTTCCTCTGGGTATTTTTTTTTTTTTTTTTTTTTGGTGTGGCTAATGCATGGGCTAATGTGCTAACTTCCACCGAGGCGTTCAAAACACCGGCAAGTTAGCCCGACTGTGAATGCCTCACGAAACGACAATCGACCCGCTGTGTGCAGTCTGTCGCAAGGACACCGCGATAAGCAGCGCGTCGACTGAGCGCTGCTTTGGTTTTCATGTGGAGGTGAGACAACGTTATTGTCCAATGAGCTAGTGCAGGCTAACGCTAGCACCGCAGGCTCGTAGCAAGACAAGCGCGCGTTAAAATAAATATCGGCGTTATAAACTGTGAAAACCTGAGCAAACAGCGTAGTTGTCCACACAATACTGCTGTAACACTGTAGTTACAACGCCACTGTGTTGTTCGGCTGGGAGACTGCGGTGTGTAACGTTATTGTACAGCCTGTGAGGTGTAACGTAATGGTGAGATATTAAATGTTAGAGAGTTCATTAGCTCGTCTCAGAAGTTGGGAATTGATTTCAGAGACGAGCTAATCCCGTTAAACGCACTGAGGAGGCCATAACACTGAGTGCTCCAGAAACATTACAGTCGTCTCTCCTCAGCTCAGCATGCAGTTAGTTGTATGTAACGCTAGCTGTTAGCATAAGTAGCTCCTCTGTGTCTCCATTAACACTGAGCTACAACTTAATTGATTATTTGGCTTGTTTGAAACTGTATTCTGCTTATCGCTGCATTAATTTGAATACATGTCTTCACCAGGAAAGGCGCCCCACATCATAAATGAACACATCCGTGTCGAGCCTCATCATGGAGAGAGGGAGGCAAAAACTGCATAACATTATGGAGGACGGCTTAGGCAGAGACTTGATGGATGCTGGTCGGTTCTGCTTCAGCTGCGAGCAGATATTTGCCAATCGGAGATTCCTGGAGGAACACGTGTGCCCTGCTGTAAGTTACATCTGCTCTTGTGGAACTGAGTTTACAGAATACAGAGACATGCTGGAGCACAGCACGACACATGAACCGGGACACCAAGTGCTCGATCACGAAACCATAAGGAAGCGCAGAATTGAGAAGCGCATAGAGGAGGAGGAGCAGCTGAAAAGACTGCAGACGGGAGAGGTTGTCTGGAAGCCCCCTACATTGGACAGTGTGGCATCGATTTCTTTGCCAGCGAAGCAGAAACAGCAAGTACCCGTTACAGCAGGTATTCTGCCACAAGGTCCCACGCAGCCTGCACAGATTTCACAAGTGCCTGAGTTGTACCGCTCTGTGTCACAAGCATCTCTTGTCCAAAATCCTGTCTCCTCTCTAACAGACATGAAGAATATTTTTGCAGGTGTGGGTGCACCAACAGTGGATCTGTGGACACTTTACCAGCCAGTGGTGTTGTTGCAAACAGTGCGCAGGTTTAACAAGTCAAAGCCTTACACTTGCGGTAAATGTGGGCAGTGTTTTACAGCAAAGACCTCTCTCGTATCCCACCACAGCTCTCATGTCACTGATAAGGTTTCTGGCTGTATAGGATGTGGGCTGCTGCTCTCCAGCAGGAAGGTAGTGCCTCGCTTCCATGTTTGTAACTCACCTAACACGGCTACCAAATTCAGACTCATCACCGCAAAGCCGCTGGCCGACAAGAAGCTAAATCAAGCCAAATCAGACAGGGGTCCGAGTTTTGGGGGGCCTCAGGGTTCTTCATATCTACATTTGAAAAGCCAGAATCTCAGTGCAGCCAGTAAAGCCAGTCAGGCACCTCACGTCACGTCCGCCCTGCAGTTGAAAAATCAGAATATGAAAATGTACAATCAGAGCAATCAGGGGCTTCATGTCGCTCCATCCCTGCAGATGAAGAGCCAGAACTCCAGTGCATCCAAGTCTTATGTCTCTGTCCCCCAGCCACTGAAGAGCCAGAATCCAAATCCCAGTGCATCTAATAAAAGTAGGCCTGTCACTCCCTCCGGGCAGTCGAAAACACCCACAAATTCTGTATCAGGCGCATCGGGCAAACCATCAGCGACATCCTCTGTATCCAACGGGTTCACGTGTCGAGTCTGTCATATTCCTTTCGAAACGGCTCAGCTGCTTCAGAGGCACAAGTGTGTCAAAGCCCAGGAGTTTATGGCAAAGCATGTGCGAGGGGGCAAACAGCAATACAAAATAAAGAGGGTGACGCCAGCGGCGAGCCCAAATGCTGCTCAGATGAACGGTGAAAGAAGACTTGGGGTTCCAGATTCTGGTAACATAAAGAGAAACCAAGTCATGGCTGTCAGTCTGGACAAGGGGCAAGGGGCGACTATGGATATGGCCGATGATTGTTATATCGTTGAAAGTGGACCAGACAAACCTGCTGAGATGATTTACCAAGTAACCTCATCTGTCCCTATTAAGACTTGACAAAACTAGACTCGACATCCAGTTTGCATGTCACATTTTATGTTAATTATGGACCAAGTGCTTAAAGATAGCAGTCTCCTGGTTGAATATCTACTTGTTTAGGTTTATGGCACAAGAACACAATGCTTCCTGGCTTTCTCCAGATCTCCCAATATGAAGTTGTAAGATGAGTGCAAAATAAATTATTATTATTATTATTACGACAGTGGAGAGACAGGAAAAGCAGGAGAGAGATGGGTATGATATGCAGCAAAGGGCCCAGACTCAAACCCAGGCTGTTTCGGTAAGGACTCAGCTTTGATACTTGGTACGCGATCTGCCAGGTGAGCTACCTGTTAACGGGCATTTTAAGTAAGCTGGATTTCTTTTGTCAGTAAACAGTCCCAAGATTCACGTCCCCAGAGTCTAAATTTGATGTCCCTGCAGTGGTTACAGAACATGTAAATCAATAACGCTTATCAAAATGTATGTGCATATGCACCCATGTTTGTTGGGATAACCAGGTGCTGTATTATAGTTGTTTTGTTTTGTTTTTTTTAAAATGTGTTTTTAGTATGATCAGAATGTGTTGTGAGGCTGTTGGAACTGACCACGATACCCAGTGTGTTCTTTCCAGCTTTGTCAGACTTTAAGAATATGGTATATGTTGTATTAAACTATATTTTCAAACTCACCGTGTGTGTAGTCATTTGATAATGCCACGTTATAATGTTAACAAGGTCGTTCACATGATAAATGGACTGAATGTATAGTGCTTTTAATCTAAGTGATAATGTATTAATCAGTGGCAATGTTGGATGTGATTCTTAAACAGTACATGCAGTTTGTGGTGCCTGAGAACTACAGTAAATGCAATTAACATAACAAACATGTTTGTAAAACGAGATGAGATAATGTATAATCTTAAAATGAATATATGGAAATAGAATTTAAAAACTACATACAAGTAGATTTAGTTAACATCGAAGAGCAACATTGTCTTTATTGTGGCCTTTGAAATGTATTACGTGCCAGTTACGTGTTGTGGACTGTTTGATTTGGTGGTAGAAATATAGAAGTGAGACACGATGAATCAACTTTATTTTTACAGTTCCACAAATAACTATTATTAAACTGTTGTTCCTCCACAATGTTAGGTGTGTTTTTCAAGACATTCTCAACACTCCTGTGAAATAGGTTAAACGATGACATGCAGCAATTATTAAATCTTTAATAGACACTATCAAGTTATTTCTTAAGAATTCTGCACCTGTTTTTAATGTATTTAGTCCGTTATTTCTTTATTGTCTTTATTCTCAGCTGATATTGAAAGCCCCCAGTTCCCCAGTGATGTGTTCACGGTCCTGCGTCCTTACCTCCAGCAGAGGGGGCCATTTCAGAGCAAAAACAAGGCTCTGTTGTGCGTCCCTTTATGATGAGGTAAATATCCACGGCGAATATCCAAAAGAGTGGATGCGGCGTTCAAGTGCCGTTGGTGTGCTTGTGTTTTCAAAAACCTTGTGGCAAAATAAATTCAGAACATCAGCACGTAAATACATTTGGGTGACTGATGTGGCCCTGACTCTGAAACCCACAACGGTAAAAACCAGGGAGGGATAAACTCTTGGGAGTTCCTCGCGTAGAACAACTCATGATTCCCAAACTTTCCACAGCACTTGAAGTATCCCCTCCTGTGCTTCTCGGCGTGATTGACACTTTCTCGGGTCGCTTTGTGCGTGGATACCGAGTGGCTCCCTGCTGCAAACTGCTCTGAAAAGAAGAGAAAAAACCCCCAACCCACATTAACAGCTCCTCTCCCAGACCAAAGCACTTTTATTAAGAAAAGAAAAAAGAGAAAAGAAAAGTGCCAAACAGCCACGTAACGACAGAGCATATGTTAGCTTCAAGCTAGCCAGCGCTAGCTAGTGGAGCAGCGGTCAGTGCATGGCGACGCAGAGAGCAGTGTGGACTCTCTCCCTCGCAGGCAAGCAGTTTGTGTTTACTACTCTTCATATTGTGTAACCGGTGTTGAGAAATAGCCTACATACGCGTTGTTAACTTTGCAGACGGGTAAACGAGCTGACATTGTGGTTACCGGCGGGGTTCGTGTGGCCTGTGACGTTAATTAACCGGAGCTAGCGATCCGGCCTACCAACACATAACGCCTACATCGTTAGTCATGCTGCTGGTAGCTTTGAATCTTAACTGATAGCTGGGTGCTGAAGCTGCCAGGCTCGGCCATGGGTGTTTGGAAATACCTTATGAGTTGTGTCTCGGTGGTTTTATGTGTGAGCATTGGTAACCACAGTCGAAAAGCCACTTTGTGTGCTTCATGAAAGAGCCCCATCAGATGACATGTGTGTGCACGGGAGATGAAATGACACCAGCAACCACTGTGCAGAGAGAGAAACTGGTGTATATGTATTAAACTACCTGTTTACATGCATCAGATGTGCACATCTAGTGGTGTACAAACTGCGACAGCGTACTTTGAGTCTGTGTGGTGAGTTAGTTCTTCAGGCTCATAAGTGGTACACTGAAGATAAAGTCTATGTAAGGTGTGATCTGTTAACAGATGGGGGAAAGGTGCTTTGCTTGAGTAAAATGAGCAGTGTCGCGATGTGAACCTGCTCGATTACACGCACAAAACTATTATCAGCACCATTAAAAGTAAATAAATATTCATTATGCAGAGTAGCACCTACCTGGTAGTGAAGGAGCTCATTTTATATAGTTGAAAAACAGCTGGTTATTCTTTAATGATTCCTCATTTATAAGTTGCATGTGTGTTATTTAGGAAAATGTTCATCTGCCAACTAACTAACTCGTGTGAAAGTGGTGGAGTAAAAAGTACTGTGTGTGTACCTTGTGTTTAAGTACTTGAGTAAATGTTCTCTGTTACTGTCCACCGCTGTCCTAATTCCCAAACTCTGGTCTATCTTAACAGGTTTCGATTAGGAAATCACTCCTGTTTCTCATTGTTTCTCATTTTTGTCAGCGACTTTTCAACCCTGGCAACTAAATGCCTGTCAATCAAACATACATTTGCTGTAGGATCACACGTTACTGTTATGAGTTACAACCTCCTTGTCACTGTTTAATCCACAGACTCTTGTCATGGGGAGTAAAATGTCCTTCAGCAGAGGAAGCAGTGACCAAAATACAGTCTCTGAGTTAACTTCTGTGGCATCGCATCCTTGCAATTCCGTTCATGCCCCTTCGGACTGCAAGCAGGTAGCCAGTGAGAAAGACAAATAGACATTTCACCCCAAAGGTTATGCAGCATACAGCACACTTTTATGGAGTAGCTTGCAAGTGGAATGCATGGAGTCATTTTCTTAGGGGGAAATTAACCTGATGTCTTATTTATTTATATTTTTATTTTTTGGGAATTTTCTTTGTAATGTTTTTTAGTGTTTATACATCTTGACTATTTAAGTGTGCAGTGAATCATTATGTTACTTTTATGTTGGTTCAGTGGTGTCCAAATGAAGGGAGGGGAGTCCCTAAAGGTTCCCTAATAATAATAATACACTTTTATTCTATTTTGAGATATATATTTATTTTTCAAGATATATCATTTTCAAATGTTGCCTCTAGATCTACTGTTTGTTTACATACATTATCATTAGCATGTGGTCTTTACTGTATACATATTGCACTGATTTTCCTTTTTTTCTTTTTGTATTTCTTTATTTTTATACTATTTTAGGAGACTTGTGCAACAATGCCACTACTACATTTGTGACAAATCCAGTTTTTTTTTTTCCCCCTCCGCAGATACCTGAAGACAAGACATGCAGTGAGGAAGACCTGGAATCCAGGAGGGGAGAAGAAATGAAAGCAACACAACTGACTCAACCTGTACCTGAGTCCCACTCATCGGGACATACGGAGCCCGATGGCCTTGTTGGTACTGAATCAGTAGGCGGAACAAACTGTCAACACAGTAAGCGCATATCTCCGCAGGTCGGAATGGAAGCAAAGTCCAAAATGGCCTCTGCGAGCGTGTGCAGCTCTACAACAGACAGTCACGGACAGCCTGTGGAGGGCCGCAGAAAACGCGGGCGCCCTCGTAAAACAAAACAGTTGTTGACTGAAGACACAATAGATCCAGAGTCGGCGGCTCTTGACGCAGTTCAGCATGAGGAGATCAGCACGACAATACCTTTGCCAATATGCTTGGAGAACCACAACAGTGACCATGTGCCTAATGCTGTAGACAGTCCCTTAATCAATAACTCACCTCATGAGATGTCTAGTCCTCATACTGTCTCTGATGGTAAAGTAGAAGTTGGTGACCCTGTGCTGCCAAAAAGAAAAAGAGGAAGACCAAGAAAAAAAGAAGTCAAAGATTTTAACACTACAGATGCTGCGGCTGCTGTCAGCGCTCCCGCTGCTTCCACTAATGTGAATAATGTTAGTAGTCCTACACGGAGACTGAGGAGTAGAGGAGAACACCCTGTGGATCTGGATGGAAAGACTGACTCTGATAGCCAGGTAGACCATAAGCAAACTGAAACAACTCCTACAGAAAGTAACGACATATTGAACTTTCAAGGTGTTAAAAGAAGAAGGGCCAAACTGGCCGATCAGCAGGTTCCAGCTAAAGTGTCCAGACTGGATGTTTCCCAGGAGGCCTCTTCAGTGTTGAGCAATGACACGGGCTCTGGGGAGAGAGCTAAGGGAGATAAGCTGGGAGAACTGAACACTGACAAACAAGAGACTGGTACAGATGGAAAGGGTGATCAGCTGTCCTTGCTGCCTGCAGAGGGACAAGAGCAGCAGGCGAAACCGAAGGAAGGTGCGTTACTAGAAAGAAAACAGCTTTCCCAGCCAGCAGCTGAGCCTGAAGTTGTATCTTCAGAGGGTTTGAACAGTCTGAACGTGGTAAGCCCTACTCAGAGTGATGACCCTAAGATAGAACAGTCAGCTGACAAGAATGGCAGCGAGGAGTCCCAATCAAAAAACAGTCTTGAACCTCCAAATACCGCACACTTGCAGAATACAGAGCCCTCTAACACAGATGTGGTAACATCCTCTGAACAACCACCTAAACCTGTTTTAGTCCTCCCTGCTGTGAAAGCTGAGAATATAGAGATAGAGCTGGACCATTTAAATCCCGTTTCTGAGTCAAATAATACATCTTTACAATGCAGTGTTAGATCTGAGGGTCCAAACAGTGAGCGAAACACTTTCAGACGCAAGAGAGGAGGTAAGAGAAGGAGGAGACTAAATAATGTTTTGTTACAGAAAGCTCATCTTGTAAAGGGCCATGAAGGCAGTGACGACGCTCAACAAAAAACAGAGTGTGATGACGTGAAGAAGGAGGATAGCCTAAGGGATGCAAATGTCATCTACACTAAAAAAGGGGGAAAAACTCTGTTGAAATGTGGTTACTGCGGTCAAATATTTAAATTTCTGTCTCAGTTCATCATTCATCAACGCGTTCATACAGGAGAAAGGCCTTTCAAATGCCCTGAATGCGGTAAGGGTTTTAGCAAAAATTCAAACTTGAATCTTCATCTCAAGACGCACAGAAAGAACAACATGTATCAAAAATGCCCATTTTGCAAGATCAAATTCTCTTGCTCCGAATATGCCTCTCATATGAAGACACATGCCCATGAGCCAGACCAGAACTCTGACAACAACAAATCTGAAAAGCGGAGCAAAGGAAACGACCAAGAAAACGGCCCTGGACTTCATAGACCAGTTTCCCCAGAAAAGAGGGAAAGAAAAGTGTGCCAGTACTGTGGTAAAACGTTCCCGTTTCAGTCTGCCCTCATAAGACACGTGCGTGTCCACACTGGAGAGAAGCCTTATAAATGTGATATATGTGGCAAAGCTTTCGGTCAGGCCTACTTCCTCCGCGTTCACGAGCTGACACACTGGTCTGTGAAGCGTTACAACTGCACACGTTGTGAAAAGTCATTCACTCATTATAGCAATGCAAAAAATCACACCTGCAAACCATCGGGAAGCGGCGACGATTTACAACCCAACAGACGGGTAAGGCCTTCACTGACGTACACGTGCCACATCTGCAAGAATGTTTTCGACCATCTGCAGGAGTTCAACAGCCACATGAAAGCACACACGGGCGCAAAGCTTTATCGCTGCTTGTATTGTGACAAGCTGTTTGGTGTGCTGTCTGAATTTAGCTCCCATCGCACCCAGTGCAGAGGAGAGGGAAACGCCTCCAGCTCTGCCATACAAGAGTCAATGTCATTAATACAGTACACAGTGCCTGCACTTAGGTGTGCATCGGGACAGAGCTCAGCTTCTCCTCTCACGGCTGCAAATTGCGAAACACAGAAAAAAACGCCACAAACCGGCCGCAAGAAACGCTTTGCTAGCTTAAAGAAACCATTCCAGTCGACAGTCATACCGGCTCACCCCCTCTCACACCTCGTGTCAAAGTTAAACAAACTAGATAATCGTTCAGACCCCAGGAAATATTTATGCCCAAGCTGCGGGCGACTGTTCAGACACATGGGCAGGCTCCGAGCCCACATGCTCACTCACGGCCCGGGTCAAAGTTACATCTGTGCCTGCTGTGGCAAGACTCTCGAAAACTGGAAAAAACTGTGGCATCATCAGAGAATCCATCGACAGAGACGCGGCCGCTTCACTTGCCCTCAGTGTGGCCAAGGTTTTCGGTTCGTGGAGCCTTACAAGAAACACATGAGCGAGCACCCAGAGTTTCAGTGGATTCAGGTCAGGCCCAAGAAAGTGTTTCTGCCTTATCAATGTGACCAGTGCAGATGCAGCTTTAGGACTCTGGACTTGCTCTTCAGCCACCAGCTTTGCCATTCCTCAACACAAGACATGCGCAAGGACTCTGATTTTGATTTATCCATAGAGGATCATACTACACAGTCCAACAGGAAAATGTTGAGCCCTCCCACAGACAACCATATGGCCACTTTATGTCCAGAACCTGAGGAAAATAGCTCTCCTCTGACCGCCTTATCCATATATTCAGACCAAGCTTCTCAAGAGTCACCAGTAGCGCCCATGATTTCCACTGTCCAATATCAGGGTCTTGATTTAGGTAAAACTTTGCACCGTCCAGGCAGCACACATTCGATCCAAGATAGAGAAACCTGCCATGACAGAATTGATGAAAATTCACTCGGGAAACCCATTACTCCTTTGAGAACTGTGAAAAATGCTAGCATATCAAATGAAGAGTCTTCAGATGGTGTTAAGTGTGCTGTGTGTGGTAATGCTTATCCTGCCATTTCAGACCTTTATCACCATTATTTGCAGCATGCAAGAGGCCAAGTGTAATAATCAATCAGTCTCAATGGAGATTCTGTGCCCTTTCTATATGTACATTCACCTTTTTGCATTGTTTAACACAGAGGGTCCTGTAGCCCTAGACCAGAAGATGTAGAAACATTGCCTGTTACACACCTGGAAAAAGTTTGGGAAACTGAAATGCCTCAAAAAGTATTCTGAAGATTTGTTTACAGTCACGTATTCAGTCAGTCACGCCTGAAGGTACAAAATAGTCGGGACACTTTGTGTTTTCATGAAGTTCATGAGGCAACTTCAGGTAGAAGCCATGAACCTTTCTTTAGTACTTTGAATTTGATACAGATGCCCTAAATATTTGGTACATTCAGTGCATTAACACCAAGCCAGAAGCAGCCCTGGGACAATGTAATCAGATATTGAATGAAAGAAACATTGCAAACACAAGTTATGTAAATGACTGATTATGGAAAGTTTGATTTTAAAAACAATAAAATAGTCAAATGAAATAACCACTGAAACATTTTAACCCTATCTTTGTTGCACCTGCAACCACCTGGCATCTTTATTTTATAACTTGAAAAAGTTCCCTGCACATGGAGCATGGGACTGAATCACCAACTGATCAGAGGAGGAATTCATTTATAAACTCCTTTTTGCTGCGAGAAGTTTGTTTGGCAATACTGACAAAGAACTTGTTTGTGTAGATTTTTTCATTCAGATTTTATAACACATCATCTCTTGTCAGTGAATAGTATGACCAATTCATTGTCATTGTATAGTTTTACCTACATCGTCACCTCATCTTGATACAAGCAATCACTGTGTGACCTGTGAATTTAATATCAAACGTGTGCATTTTTAAATGATCTTTTCTTGACTGACCGTGGATGTGAAACTGTTCAAAATGTTTCAGAGGAAATGTTCGACTGATTACAAATCTGTTTTGTTTTGGTCTCCAACAGGGACAAGTATCAGCATTTTGTATTTATTATTTTAAAAAGTGAATATCAGCTTTTCTCATGCACATGCTTGTCATGTTTGCTCTTTTTGTGGACTCGCACTATGATGGCTGAAATCAAATGAATTTTTTTTAAAGAATAATAACAAAAAATACACTGACAAACGCACATTCTGTACCTGAACTAACAAGTGCAACAAGATGTTGTTGAACATCCGTTATTGTTTACTGCTTTTGAAAAACTACATTTTCATGCTTCAATGTCAGACTTGGTTTTTGGTGAATCATGAAATAAACTACATTTCAAAAGATGTTTCCCAGATGGACACCCTGCACTGTTGTATATGATTATATGCTATAGTTTGTCTTAAAACCAATAAAGCTCACTTTTCTATAGATTTGTGATTATATCTCATTTTTAAGTTGAAATAGGTGCTTACATGTGAATAGACAGACACCCATATTTCTATATAATCCTAAAGGTTAAGGCTCAAAGATCCTTTAAATGTGAAGAGAGGTGACTTCCTGGCAAATACAGGAAGTCACATTTAATACCAGTAGTATAAATATCTGTGTTGGGGTTTGTTTACTTTAAAGTCAATTTAAAGAGCTGTTGCAGCATATTTTGATCCAAAGTGATGAGTTTGAGTACAGTAGGTAATGCCAAGAAGTCAAACAGATGAGGAATCTTTGATTTTTTTAATTTATATTTTTATTTATTAAAGGGATGTACACCTTACTGTCCTACAACAAATGACTGTAAAGTGACTTTAGTTGGAGGACATGGTGTTGCGAATCCAGGAGTTGTAGTTGCAGACCTTGGCGTAGACTCCAGGCTTGTTCCTTTGGGGCCCAGCCATAACCCCAGGGGAACAACACCCCTGCAAGCTGGACCGTTGGCACCAACCAACGGGGCCACCGGAACAGATAGAAAGGACAACATGTGAGCAGAGGTGTTCTGAAGGCTGGTTGGTCCACTTTAAGAAACTGATGAGCAGCTTCAGCTCGTACCTGGCAGGAGTCCTTGCCTCCCTCGAGGAATCCAGCACAGAACATGTTGGAGGTGATCTGACCAGGGTAGGCGCTCCTGCAGCTGCTGTCGCTCAGGATGGGGGCATCCAGGCACCTCAGACGATCAGGGTAGTAGCCTACAGAAGAAAAAAAACAATGTATGTAAATATTCACACGCCATCATCTACCACTAATATCTTCCAGTATATTTGCAGACTTTTACTGACTTCCAGAGCCGCTGGTGTTTCCCCATCCAGAGATCAGACAGCGGGTGCCAGAGCCGGCACAGCTGGAAGGCAGGGACACGGTGCGGACGTAGCTGTTCAGGGAGGCGGGCTTGCTCAGCTTGATCAGCATGATGTCATTGTCCAGGTTGCGGCTGTTGTAGCTGGGGTGACGGATGACCATAGCAGAGTTGATGAACTGCTCTGTGCCCTCATTGACAGCAATGTTGTGCTCACCAAGACGCACCTGGACCTGGCTGCAGAGAGAGACAGGAGGATTGGATTACATGGAAGTGACAAATGTGACATTACATTTATAATGAGGCAGTTAGTTTGCTTGTTTAGATAAGTGTGTAAAAGTAAGTCAAGTATTAGGTAAAAAGGCTTTGCAGCAGCCTGATGGTGTAACAGTACATTCTGTTGAATCTAAAATCTAATGTTTGCACTTACGACTTGTAGCAGTGAGCAGCAGACACCACCCAGGTGCTGGAGATCAGAGAGCCTCCACAGAAGTGGTAGCCAGAGTTCAGAGAGACCTGGTAGGCCACAGAGTTCTTTGTGCACTCGTAGCCTCCAACAATCTTGTCATCCTCATCCTCAATGGGAGC